CGCTGTTGTTGAGCAATGCATTGGTAAGCTGAAAAACCAGTTCCGGTGCCTGCAGAAGTACCACGCTCTGCACTACGACCCAGAAAGAGCACGTAATTTAGCAACAGGATGTGCTATTCTGCACAATGTTTGCTTACACAGCTCCGTTCCGGAGTCTGCCCCAGACCCCTTTGTGTAGGAAGAGTCTGACTGCGGGTACAACGATGACAGTAGCGACACCAACAGCGACACTGGCACTAGGAGCCTCAAAGAAAGAACACTAGCAATGCAGCGTCGGAAAGTCAGGAAGGTGGACGCCCTCTCTCATCGAGCTTGTCATGCTCTGCGGTGTTGGCATGCTTGCCGTAATCATTCAGCTCACTGGAGTCGCGCTGTGCAAGCTTAATCATATCTCATCAAAGACTGGGAAGCACAGAAGGTGTACAGTTCTACATCCATGTAATGTGGGTGGCTGCACAAATTTTAGCTCTGATGTGGGAAAGTCAAATTTGGGGGTTTTACGTGCCAAACCTATGACGGGCATCTGGCACCTATGACGGGCATCTGGCACGCCCCAGCGGAGGACTGAGGATTAATTTGGACCACCTGCGGAGCTCGGTTACACAGTGCCTTCTCTGCAATAAGCCTCCGTCATATTGCGGGCACCTCGGTCGGGATTCGAACCCGCCACCTGAGGACCTGTAGGCCGGTGCTCTCGCCTCAGAGCCACCGAGGCGGCTTCTGATGTGGGAAATCACTTATTGGGTTGGGGTGAAGGCATGTTTTTGCATCCACATACATCATGTGCACGCAGAACTTCACACATTCTATGCTCACCAGTTCGTTGCAATGACATGCTCTTAAATCGTAATGCAGATATTTTTTTCTTCCTTTTTTACTTTTTTTGTTTCTCTTTATAAGCCTAAGCAGTCAATGTAGTCCACTTGTTTGCTCTCGTAAATGTCTCTGTCAGGGTTTCTTTTGGAACACATTTTCATAACATTTGGCTGATAAAACACTGTGTTCAAAGAGGTTTTGGCAGAGCTCTGGTGGGCCGATACAAATTTTTTTTTTTGAGTGGGTGCATTTTTTTAGTTGCACTACCTGCACCGGTGTGAAAAAGTGCAATGTGGTGTACTTCTGGCATGTGTAAGAAAGTGCAAGGTGGTGTACTTCTGGCATGTGTATCGAGATAGAACCGTAAATACATTGCCCTACAATTTTCTTCACCAGTGCAGGTGTGGCTAAAAAGATGCACCTAGAGTCGGTGACAGGTCAAGATCGAAGTGGAAGCTCCTCCCACCCTTTTCCACTTCAGCCGAGCAAACATTAAAGGGCAACTCCGGTCCATACTTTCGGTTTTGGGATTATGACTGTTTTTAGTCTAGTCAGCGTCCCTGAACTGCAAGGTGCAATTTTTTTCTCGTTATTGCGCGTAGTTCTACAGATATGGACGCCTCAAAGTTTTGTTTGGGGCGCAGCCAACAAACCCGAAACTAGCCGCTCGAGGCTCCGGCAACGCTCGAAATCAACCGCTATGTGAACGTGACGTCAGGATCGTTCTCGTTCAACGAGCACGCACGCCGAGCGGCACCTACCTCTGTTGCGCTAGCCGTCTAAAGATAGGAGGTAAGCTGATTTTGTTTTAATTCTGTATACGTGGTAGTTATCCAGCATATGTAGCAAGGGCTAGTGCATATACCCAAAAGCTAGCGACTGGAAAACCCGTGAACTCGTACGATTCCGTACTCGGCGGCCGCCGCCATGCGTGCGCTATGCCGTACTCGTCGCTTGTATACCCAAAAGCTAGCGACTGGAAAACAAGTGAACTCGTTCGGTGCCGTACTCTGCGGCTGTCGCCGTGTGTGTGGTCTTCCGTACTCGTCGCTAGACCTAAATTGTCATCGGGGCTCTGTGGATGGAGCGGCGTTGCTCTACGCTGTGCTGCCAGTGACGTACAGTACTGGGGGCCCTCTCACTTTCGCGCTGCGGGTCAGTCCCAGACACAAAGCTTTGAGGCTCTACGGCGCGAGCTGCGGCGGCCGAACACACGAGTGCTGGGCTGTACACCTCTGTTTTTTCGTTCTTTTTTCCTCGGGCGCATAAAAGCCGAAGTCCAAAGTCCACTCATCGAACAGCGTTCACCCACACTTTCTTCAATTTCCGGTCCGTTCGAAACTTGTGAAGAAGCACCTCCGGGTTGCACAGCGGGTTGTTTGAGCAGCCCACAGCGCTACAAGTTGCACTCGGCATCTTTCGAGGAACAGCTGGGCAGTCTTGGGCGCACCGAGTTGCTCGCTAAAACGAGTCTTGAAGTCCTCATAAGCAAATAAACAAAATTCTATACCGAAGCTACACGGGCTACAGATAAAAGCAACGGCTAAACACGCCAATCGCAAGCCGAAGTAGCTGTGGTAGTGGCTCAAAGAAGCGCACTACGCGCAACTCCTGGACCAGAGGAAAAAAAGAGAAGGATACTGACGTCACGGCCCAATGTTGCTTTGGCGATCGACAAACCGCTTGCCGCCCGCTAAGGAGCAGCGGCTTGCGGCGGGTCGCATTTTTATTATCGGCATTAGTTGAGAATGCGGCGTCCCACGGACGTAATATTTTGGCTGGGGTCGTAATTTGCAGAGCAGTCGCTTTCTTGTATGGGATCGCCATTGTCGCGGCTTGGTTTGATGGCAGAGTTATTGCTTTTTGGTGACACCATGTTCCAAAACTTCCTCGGGTTACCATTCAAAATAAACAGCGAGTCATAAAAAAAAAACTTTTAGTAGCCAATTTCAACTTTTTATTGTAGTTTTTAAGGGCAAAGTTATAAGCACCCAAAGCTTGAGGTGTTAACACGTTTAGCCTTTGCAAATAGCCTTTTCTTGTTATGCAAAAAGAGCAGCATTTTGGTGAACCATGGGTTATTTGAATCAGTGCATACTCAGGCTGTCGGAACAAACATATTTATAAGACTGTTCATTTTAGCTTTAAATAATGCCGGTTTCCTCTACTGATGGAAGAGGACAATTTAAATGTAATGGTCAAAAAAGATTGTCAACCCATGATCTATTCATCTATAATCAGCCTCATTATAATCGCGAATGATCTTGGAAATAGAATGTTTGACAAGAACGGAGAGTGGAAAGTCGACATGTTGTAACCTATAATCACGGAGCCCATCGCAGTATTGAATGGACTTGACAAGGTCCGGTGACGTAGTTAGTGCAGGGGTGGAACTCACGAAATGTCCTTGGGAACAGCCACGGGAGCAACTGAAACAGCTGTTTAGGAGCAGGTTGGGAGCAGCTAAAACTATGTTCTGGAGCAGGCTAGGAGCAGCTCAGATCAGTTTTCATTGCACTTCAGCTTGTGTCTTAGACACGCACGGGAGCAATTTCAATCGCGCTTAGCAGCACAGATGAACATGAGTGGTTAGGGACCTAGGTAGATGGGATAACAGTGTAAAAGGTGTGAAAACTTGAAACTTTGTGAGCCTCTATACTTTCCAGACTCGTACGTAACGTGTTACAAGATTACTTGTAATTGATTATTTTTACTGCAATTTTGTGACGCTTCGATTACTTCCTTTAAGGGGTAATGATCTTTTTAATTGAATTAATTTTTTGCTGTAATCGATTACAAAATTACCCCCCATTACAATCTTCCTCATTTCTTTTTTTTTTTTTTTTGGGGGGGGGGGGGGAGGGAGTTGGAGTTATTCAGCTCCGGGCAACGGGCTTTTTTTTTTTTTCGAAATTATTAAGCACGAGGCTGTGAGGATTAGTAGGCCACTTTACTATGCTTCTTTTTCGTGGGTACATTTTTATTTCTACACCGGAGACTACTTATGGGTATGAAAAATGACTTTATCTAGCCTCTTGTGAGGGATTAGGTGTGTGCCATCACTCACTCAGCTTTAAGCGCGAAACACACGTACAACCAAACCGTCCGATCCGACGTGCGGACTGCCGGAATGACCTTGGGGGGCGAGGGGGTTCCGCAGCATCGGAGAGCGTTGAAAACCCTTGCCTCCGACCGTCGTATTGCGCGGTCAGACGTCGGATCGGACGGTTTGGTTGTACGTGTGTTTCGCGCTTTAAGCAAAAACAGTCGAGGCTTTCTTTTTTTTTTTCTTTAACAACTGAGCACGAGATTCCACGGATTATGCTATCATAAAAAAAGTTTGAATGAAAAGTAATGTGGGAAGTAATTGCTTACTCTAGAGTAATTTTTCGATTACTTCTTTGAGGCTGTAATTGTAATTGTAGTCGGGTACTTTATACAGCAAAGTGATTGTAACTGTCATCGGTTACTTTTTCAGTGACGGGTACAAGTCTGATTATTTTCTTAGTGGCTTTCAGCTGCTCAAAATGCAAACCAGCTCTGCTTATCACACAACCCACACGTGCTCGACATAGTACTTATATGTGCGAACCACGTGACGTGCGTAAGCAACGGACGCGGAGTTGCGCGGAGGAACAGGGCACCAAATTTCGAGTTTATCCTATTGTGCAACTGAATATCGAAGCAGCAGACTACGATTAACGAAGTCATCGTATTCGAAGTGACAAGCAGGTGCAAGGTTAAAGTACACCAAACAGATCTACCGATCGCGTGAAAGCTGCTGGCTGGCAAGGTTTCGGATCGGATCACGTTTCAGTTCTATCAAATCACGATTTATCTTGCGGGAACGCGGTTCCAACTTCTAACGATAAAGTACTAAAAGAAATCTTTTGCTAGTTTGTTTTCAACTGGCCGACGTACTTTTTCTGTACTCAAAAGGTTTGCTGCGGGCAAGTCGTACAGACGCAGAAATATCCTTGGGGCGTCTTTCAATTTGAAACCGGAGGCCAAAATGCTTTCTCTGTCTTAGAAACGGGCAAACTTAACGATGATCGGTCTAGTTTTCTCGGGCTGGAATTTCTTTAGCTGGTGCGATTTCTCCAGATTAGAGGGGCCAAGCTGTACACCTAACTTATGCGCACAGAACTCGACAACTTCTTCTGATTGCCCCTATGCTTCAGTGCCAGTATCCAAGAAGCCAAACTGCTGCATTTGTGTATTTCGCCACCAGGGGGCCAGCGTCTTCCGGTGGACTTCCCGCGCACACCGCGCCATTCCTTTTCTTCTTGTTCCATGCAACCGCCATGAGGTCTCAACATGTAACCTAACCTGTTAATAAACAATATGTGACTACGTGACAAGAACATTTTTTCCTCATCGACGCAACACAAACAAGAACAGATTAGACCTCCTAAGCCTATTTTCATTGTCATCATACTGTTTTTGAATATGTAGTGGTGGAACTGACAAGAGGTGATTTGGAGCAGCTCTTGTAGCAGGGAACAACACATTTTGGAGCTGATTCCCACTTTTGGAGCAAACAATGTGGAGCTTTCACCTCAAAAAGTTTTATACCATTTCTTTAGGAGGTAGCCTGTGGGAAAAACTGTAGTAATGTTTGGAGGTGGGCTAGTCGGTGATGCATTGTAAACATAGAAATAAAACAGCGCAAACAAACACAAGGACAAGTAGAAGGAGGGACACAGACACAGCGCTGACTCACGACTTACTTTCTTTCTCATCTTTTTAAAACATTTCAACATAAGAAAAAAAGAAAAGAAATGAAAAATAAAAGAAGGAGAATCCAGCATGTAGGATATCCTCTCTGTCATATGCCATCTGAGGAATTTTTTACACAAACTAAACATTATATACCATTACAACAAAAAAAACAAATTAAAAAAAAAGCCAAAAACCACAGCGCGAGCCCTAATGCTCTGTGCGTACCTGTCTTGCACGCGGACTCTTGGTATGTCGGAACCCTTTCCTGGCTGCATGTAGGCACGCGCCTGTGGTTATAGGATCACTCCCATGGAAGCAGAAAGAAAGTGTTAAAGAGACGTGCCTAAACTCCGAAGAAACTCGAACTCTTCACTGTATAACGTCACTGACTCTGAACTGACGCATAGATCGGGACCGTGTTGTCGAATGTAAAACGCTTCATGAATTTCCCTTGCCATTTTTTGTGAATGTTTAGCCAAAATTTCAATGTCACTTAACCGAGGGGAACAACCACACCTATCACAATGAATGGCTAGGTGACCCGAAGGTGAAGACCTCAAAGACAGATAATGCTCCCGAGCTCGAACATTAATACATCTGCCCGTCTGCCCAATATACACTTTCCCACATGAAAAGGGTATTTTATAAACGACCCCCACAGCACAAGCTACATATTTGATGCGATGGTTTATTCCACACCCTACACGCTGAAGTCCTGCTCTCTCAATGGACGCACACAAACGGGATAGCTTGGAAGGTGCTGAAAAGACTATGGGAACTCCGTATTTAACCGCCACTTTTTTGATCCTGTGGGAAAAACTGTGCAAATATGGTATTACCACCGGTCGAGAGGCAGGCTTTTGTCTAACATTGTCAAGTATGTTAAGGGGATTCCTGAATAATTTTAAAAGTGACTCCGCTACCCCCACTATGACAAGTTTCGGGAAACCCGCTTTTGTTAACCTATCTACTTGACACAGAAAGCTGCTGAAACTTCTGTGAACACAGGATTTCAATAAAGAAGCTCTCAAACATGATTTTGCAATAGCTCTTTTTACAACTTTTGAGTGCGTTGATTCATAGCTAAGGAGGGACTTTTTTGTTCTAGGCTCATAAGCCCAGCATAGGTGACTCGTTTCAAGACGAATGTTGAGGTCCAAAAATTGCAAAGCTTTTTTAGTTGGAACCTCATTCGTAAACCGCAGACCTCCAGAGCACTCCCGAAAGGTGTCTAATAACTCTGAGACCAAGTCAGCACTTCGTGAGCCCTGCTTAGGTTTAAACACCACCAGGTAATCGTCAACATACCTGAAGACTTTCAAAAAACGATCATCTAACCTTTCTGCAATAGCACAATCACAACCTGCTAGGTAGATGTCACTCAATATAGGAGCAACACTAGACCCAATGCAGATCCCGGATTTTTGCAGAAACGTGTTGCCCTCAAAAGAATTAAAAGTGGACTCTAAGTAAAAGCGGAGAAGATCCAAAAACTTTTCCACAGCAATACCAGTCGAATTCTGGAAGGCAACAGAACCGTTTAAGTCAATGCAAAGTTGAACCGCTTCAATGAGACCTCCATGAGGAATAGAGTAGAAAAGGTCTTCCACGTCAATTGAAACCAGATCACAAGATCCAGGGTTGTCATTGCTTTCTTCCTTTCTTTTACATCGGGCCCTTTTATGTGTTCCTTCAATCTTCCACATCAAGACATCTTCTATGTCAATGCCATCGCTCTTTCTACGTGCAAAGCAAGGCAGTATGGGTACGCTGCAAAGAAAGGCAATTACCCCCCTGAGGTATTAAGCCTTTTTGGATTGACGTCTCCGTCATCTGGACATGCCAAGCGCGTATGCAAAATTCTCCGCTCGGAACATTGGAGGCAAGTCAGACTTCTGCATGACTGCTTAAAAGTGTGGTGTTATAACACGTGTACTAACGAACACAGCGCCAGGAGAAAACTCCGTGCGTGTCAATTGGAGTCTTCACGTATTACTGAGTTCTTATGGCTGCATCTACGTTCCACGTTCCCTAAGAAACACAAAGACCCGCCTCCTGCAGGGAATACCGTTGTGTTTTTAGGTGATGCAACTGCACCTGCTTCTATCACAAGCATATTGAATAAGGGCCCAAAGTATGCTACTGAGCCGCTCGTGAAGCCCCCCGAGATGCTCTCCCTTGTGAGACGGATAGCTGAGAAGACTGTTGCTGAGAAAAAACACATGTGTATCCTAGACTGTGTAGAAAGCTTACGTAGGGACACCAGGAAATCTGTACATCGATTTCATTTCGGCCCTATTGTTTCTTTTTTCAAACACTGTAAGTTAAAGCTGCTGGTTTCAGATAAGGAGGGAGGATTTGTAGTTGTGCCAGAACATATATTTAAGGAAAAGTCTACACAAGCCGTGTCAAAAAATTTCAAACCTGTTCCAGATGTGGTACTAAGCAAGGTGAAGACGCGTGCTGAGCAACCTTGTAAGCAGCTTGGTTTAGAAAGGCTCAGGAAGTCTGTCCAGGCGGCTCGTGGTCTCAATCTGGAGGTTTTCTTCTCTGTGAAGACCCATAAGGACACTATGCCGTTCAGGGCAATTGTTACACAGAGAGAGTCATGGCAGCTGCATGTCTCGAAGTATCTCCAGCATCACCTATCTTCTTTGAAGTTAACTGATCCTTTTCTAGTTCGAAACTCTGACGAATTGGTAGATTATCTAAGCAATGACAACCCTGGATCTTGTGATCTGGTTTCAATTGACGTGGAAGACCTTTTCTACTCTATTCCTCATGGAGGTCTCATTGAAGCGGTTCAACTTTGCATTGACTTAAACGGTTCTGTTGCCTTCCAGAATTCGACTGGTATTGCTGTGGAAAAGTTTTTGGATCTTCTCCGCTTTTACTTAGAGTCCACTTTTATTTCTTTTGAGGGCAACACGTTTCTGCAAAAATCCGGGATCTGCATTGGGTCTAGTGTTGCTCCTATATTGAGTGACATCTACCTAGCAGGTTGTGATTGTGCTATTGCAGAAAGGTTAGATGATCGTTTTTTGAAAGTCTTCAGGTATGTTGACGATTACCTGGTGGTGTTTAAACCTAAGCAGGGCTCACGAAGTGCTGACTTGGTCTCAGAGTTATTAGACACCTTTCGGGAGTGCTCTGGAGGTCTGCGGTTTACGAATGAGGTTCCAACTAAAAAAGCTTTGCAATTTTTGGACCTCAACATTCGTCTTGAAACGAGTCACCTATGCTGGGCTTATGAGCCTAGAACAAAAAAGTCCCTCCTTAGCTATGAATCAACGCACTCAAAAGTTGTAAAAAGAGCTATTGCAAAATCATGTTTGAGAGCTTCTTTATTGAAATCCTGTGTTCACAGAAGTTTCAGCAGCTTTCTGTGTCAAGTAGATAGGTTAACAAAAGCGGGTTTCCCGAAACTTGTCATAGTGGGGGTAGCGGAGTCACTTTTAAAATTATTCAGGAATCCCCTTAACATACTTGACAATGTTAGACAAAAGCCTGCCTCTCGACCGGTGGTAATACCATATTTGCACAGTTTTTCCCACAGGATCAAAAAAGTGGCGGTAAAATACGGAGTTCCCATAGTCTTTTCAGCACCTTCCAAGCTATCCCGTTTGTGTGCGTCCATTGAGAGAGCAGGACTTCAGCGTGTAGGGTGTGGAATAAACCATCGCATCAAATATGTAGCTTGTGCTGTGGGGGTCGTTTATAAAATACCCTTTTCATGTGGGAAAGTGTATATTGGGCAGACGGGCAGATGTATTAATGTTCGAGCTCGGGAGCATTATCTGTCTTTGAGGTCTTCACCTTCGGGTCACCTAGCCATTCATTGTGATAGGTGTGGTTGTTCCCCTCGGTTAAGTGACATTGAAATTTTGGCTAAACATTCACAAAAAATGGCAAGGGAAATTCATGAAGCGTTTTACATTCGACAACACGGTCCCGATCTATGCGTCAGTTCAGAGTCAGTGACGTTATACAGTGAAGAGTTCGAGTTTCTTCGGAGTTTAGGCACGTCTCTTTAACACTTTCTTTCTGCTTCCATGGGAGTGATCCTATAACCACAGGCGCGTGCCTACATGCAGCCAGGAAAGGGTTCCGACATACCAAGAGTCCGCGTGCAAGACAGGTACGCACAGAGCATTAGGGCTCGCGCTGTGGTTTTTGGCTTTTTTTTAATTTGTTTTTTTTTGTTGTAATGGTATATAATGTTTAGTTTGTGTAAAAAATTCCTCAGATGGCATATGACAGAGAGGATATCCTACATGCTGGATTCTCCTTCTTTTATTTTTCATTTCTTTTCTTTTTTTCTTATGTTGAAATGTTTTAAAAAGATGAGAAAGAAAGTAAGTCGTGAGTCAGCGCTGTGTCTGTGTCCCTCCTTCTACTTGTCCTTGTGTTTGTTTGCGCTGTTTTATTTCTAGGAAAAACTGTAGTTGTTGGTGGTGGAAAACTATTTAAGGCACCATACCTACAGGGACCTGGCCACTACAGATATTTATTTATTTATTGAACAATCATACGCCAGTAACTCTCCAGATGTCTCAATTAACCTGTTAGGAGTACCGATGGCGTCTTCGGTTTGTGTTTGATGCAAAAAATATGTTTGGCTACTTTGTAGGGTTTGTATCACGGTGAGGTAATTGCCACAAGTTCGACAACAAACGGACACTTTTGTGTTGAATGTCACGCTGCCCTTGCTCGTATTCAATCTACTACTGTTCATAGAGCAGCTAAGCAAAGCACATAGTTACTTTAACTGATAACAATGAGTAGCGCTATCTATTCCTATTCATTGCGATCGATGTGAGCACCGTTTGCACAAAGAACAACAACTCTTCGTTAGGCACGTGCAAATAATGGGTGTTAGGTTCGAAGCGAATTCGAATTAAATAGAGGTTCTGGCCGAATATTCTTTAATTGAATATTGAATAGTTGCTGCGTCTTTCTCCACGCTTTTCACTACTAGTACACCATGCTTAAACAAATATTCGGCTGTACTCACAAAGCTTGTTCCCAAGCTTCTAATTGCCCGCTTATGAGCTCTGTTAAATTTAATCTAGCTACATTTATAGACTGTGGCCTCAGGCAGTCCAATACCTACATTGGGGTGGCAAGTAAATGACAGATTTGAATTAAAATGAAACCTATAAGAGAGCCCAGCCACACCTAATTGAGGGGATTTGTAAATATTCTTGCCGTATACAAATATATGTTCTTCATACCTGAATTAAAACAAAACAAGGATAAATAATGAACACAGGTTGCTAAAACATTGCTGCCTAACATATACACTTGCATAACAACCACAGTTAGATTTTGAAGATTTTACTGTGACGTAAATATCAACAATCACTATTTTTTTTTCTTTTTATTACACCAGGCGCACGCATGCGCTATACCACTTTTAAGGTGTGTTTTTCGCCTCCGTGTGCGGCTGAGCTGCGGCAAAGCGAGCCGGAAGATCGTGGTGTCAGCTCCGCAGGTATTGCTTCTCCGCAGTGCATCAATTCTTGAGGAGAAGTGCACTCAAGGAGTTAACCCACCCCAATAATTAAAATATTCGCTCAGCCCTACTCTTTGCACATAGTACTGGCACATGGCATTCTTGGCAACGCAAAGAATGCCATGTGCCAGCCACTTTCAGTCTCCTTTTCAAGAACAGCCTTTGGAACAGCATGTAGCAGGTTATTCCTTCTGGCACAGTTTGGTGCAAATGGAGCGGCAGTTCCACCACTGAATATGCATTCATGCATTTGCTAACACGTACCCAGCCGAAATGTTTATCAGCGCATAGTAACTTCCTGTCACCGGTAGGTCAAGTTGGTAACTATTCCAAACATCTGGAATCAGTTGACGGACATTTTCACCCCAGGGTTCTATCGAATCAATAAGGGCTGTCAACATTACATAGTTAATTTAAGCACTGAAAGTATTGCATTTTCTTTTTAGGGGGGGATGGGGGGGGGGGGGGGGTTTCAGGACACATGCGAAGTAAAAAAACATTTTTTTGTAAACAGACCAGATGGAAAAAGAATGTTATAAAATAAAATTAGAACGAAGAAAAAAAAATTTTAGAGCTATATTGACGGCACAAAATGATTTTGTAGTTGCGCCCGTGGGAGCCGCCGCAAGTCATGTGATAGACCTGTGCGCCGTCTCAAAGTCGACTCACAGTCACGCCGCCGCTGCACGCTGAGCGTGGTGCGCCGCCGTCAACTCATTTCTCCACACCGCCACCGCCGCGCAAGTTTGTCTACCCCGCAGCGCTGCCGCCGTCATCTGACCGGCACACAGGTCTATCACGTCTGCTTCCGCTTTTTCAGGAGCTTTCTTTGGGTTCGAAAAGTTACCGATTAATCTTTGTGTTTTGTTGCACTTGAAATAAAGATGAATAACTAACTTTTAGAGACCATAGGAAGCTTCCGATAGAGCGGAAGCACCACGTGACAAATAGCGACCAGTCACGTGACGACTAGCAGCCACTTTTCCGCAGCGCCCGCCGGCGCCAACTACAAATTCGTATACGCCGTGAATATAGCTCTTAAAATTTTTATTTTCCTTGTGAATTTGTTTTATGACTTCCTTTTCCCAACCAGGCTGTTTAAAAAAACTTTATTAGTCCTTTGCATGTGTCCTTTAAGAAGTGCTCGAGCTTCCTTAGGCTTCCTTGCTGGAAATCCTTTGTATTCCTGTTACTAACAAGTGCACCAAGGAGACACTCCGGCCATTATTGAACACTTTGAATAAACAAATATGAATAGTTGGAAGATGTTACAAAGCAGTCTACATTGATAAAAATTCCTTCTTTCTGCATGTCAAGTTCGCTTGTGGCGTAATCTAAGATTACTACGACATACCAGTTAAGGAAAGTTGGTCTTCAAATGCGGACACCACACGCGAGCCACAGCGAGCTACAATGGGGAGCAGTGCCACGCTTGAGAAGCCCATCGAGGCACAGATGTTGTTTGGTCTAGCCACAGTTTACAAAATGGCCGCTGCAGCAAGAACAGCGGGACTGCGACTGCTCGCTTTTAACAATTCTGCAAAGCGGACACCTATGGCAGTTTTTCAACTGAGATGTTCAAGTAACGGTGGTGTAACCCGTGCCAAAAATGAAATGGAGCATAGAGACCCACTTTATTCGGCTGGCGGATGGAGATTCTGCACACCGACGAGCTGAAGCACTAGCGAAGTCAGTGCGGACGACTGGTGCGCACTTGCTGCTGCTTGTCCCTCTACAGCCTGCAGGAAAAGGGGAGGGCATTATGCACAAAATGCAAACTGTTACGCAACACATTAGTAAAGTTAAAAGCACGCCAGAGGTTTTCAGACGCGTTGCAAGCAATACTATAGGAAACTTTTGCCAAACAACTTTTCACCTTGGTAAGCTCTGTGCAGTCATGTTGCAGAGCAGTTTTCACCATTCACCTTATTAGATTACTCGTAGACAACGAGTTACTGGCATTTTAGGTGCTCCTAAAGCACAGAAGAAAAGAGAATGGCTGTGTTAACGAAAGAAGTCGAGAAGTCTGATCAAAAGCGTATGTGGGGCGAGTAAATCCACCCTTACTCTGTTCTCTTTCCCCTTTGGAGCTGCCTTGGTGGCGTCCTTGCCTGCGCTTGCGAATGATGCATTTTAGTTACACTGACGGCAGAGTTGCCGCGTGACAAGTCCTTCAGTAACGAGGCCAGTTTCCTATAATTACACGAACACACGCTGGTGGCGGAATATTATTTATTTGTTTCTTTAGTTACTTAGAATTACCCTCAAGGCCCCAAAGGGCATTACAGAGGGGAGTGCATGGTTAGCACAGTTCTGATTTTAGCGTTATCGGTGATGGTGACAATATCATCTGGAAGGCCATTCCAGTCTACAATAGCTTCTGGTAGAAGGGAATGTTGAAATGGTCTTAAGAAGGGTAATCTTGCACGAATGATCGAGTCTTGCAGAGATATAGCTGGGCTGGCTGAGGAGAGACTGTCGTAATGGTTCCGAATAGTACATTTTATGGAAAGGCAAAGACGGGAAATTCTGCGACGAACGGAAAGATCAGGAAGAGCTAATTGACATTTCATTGCAGTGACACAAGAAAGGCGAGACTAATTAGAAAAAATAAATCGAGCAGCACGATTCTGGACAGATTCGATTTGCGTTAGTTAAAAAAAGACTGATGTGGGTGCCAGATAGCTGAAGCATACTCTAGTTTAGGGCGAACAAGCATGGCGTAAAGGAGACGTTTAAGGATAGAAAAGGCAGAGTTGAAATTGCGACAAACAAAACCGAGTGAGCGGTTTGAGGATGATATTGTCTCGTCGACATGAACATTCCTGGATATATTAGTGGTTAAACGAACGCCTAGATATTTTTACTGTGTAGCAGTCAGAATGGTAGTGCCATTGAATGTTAACGAGTTTAAGGGCTGGAAGCAAGAATGTGTAAAGCAAAGGTGTGTGCATTTGCTAATGTTGAGACACATCTGCCATGTGTGACACACTGCTTCAAGAGCTTTTTTATATAACTTGCGATTCAAATAAAATGAAATTTACATGGCTTATTTGGCATTACAATCGGACTACAAATATGTACTTTGTTTTGAGGTAACCTAATTAGATTTATTAATATGAAAAATTTAATTTGCAATGATTATGGAAAGGATTAACGCAAATTAAAATACTGAGCTCAGAAAATAAACATAGATCAGTGAACTGAGAGGTATGTGCAATCCAATAAGGTATAAATGAAAGCTCTAGGATGATTTATAAATTACTTATGACACTTTTGAACCTTCCAGTTTCAAAATCATTTTTTGCCGGATGCCTAAAAGGCACCCACAAAAAGCCTGACAGCCTATTTAATATATTTGTAGCCCTCATTCAATATGTCGAAAATCCTTCAGGACAAGATGATAAGTGCTTGCCAAACTTCAAAAAGCACATTTTTAAAAATGTGTTTTCTTAGTAAAATTTTGCTTCAAAGAGCAGTGTCTCCCCTTAAATGCCGTTCTGGAGTGCAACATGGTCATATGGGTTTTTTATTAGTCTATAAACAGCACAGGTCATCAGTGAAAAGATGAACAGAGGATGAGATGTGAAGAGGGAGATCATTAATGTAGATTAAAAAGAGCAAAGGCCCAAGCACAATTTCCTGTGGAACACCGGAAGAAACGGGAGAGAAAGAGGAGGATGTGCTGTTAGTGAAAACGAATTGAGAGCGATGAATAAGGAATGATTCAATCCACTTAGGAACATGAGGATCTAGTTTTAGGAAAGAAAGTTTAAGAAGAATGCGATTGTCCGGGACTTTAGCAAAAACTTTGGCGAAATTAAGCAAAACAGCGTCAGTAGGAAAGCCGGTGTCAAGATTTTTAAACAAATCGTTAGTTAGAATAAGTAGTTGGGTCCCAATAGAAAGGCGTTTCCAGAGGCCATGCTGCACATTGGTGAAGAAATTGCAGGAATCCAGGAAGTTAATCAGGTGCCTGTAAATGACATGCTCGAGGATCTTGTAGAGGCAGGTGAGTGATATTGGCCTACTTACTAATTTTCCGGTCAGAGGGCAACACCCCTGTGTCCACGGACTGCTCAAATATCTTTGAGGTAAAGACCGGATGAAAATTTAGTGTTAGTGAGAGCCTTCGTAATGATTTCCTCTATGCCACATGATGGAGATATTTTGAGGGTTTCTATACCGCTGAAAACACCCTGAATGTTTATAACAATTGAATCCATTGGAAAATCATTCTCTATAACAGGAGAAATTCCAGTAATGGGTGTAGAAATAGTGAAAGCATCAGAAAACGCACTATTTAAATATTCACACATTCACTATTCAATATGTTATTACAAGAGCTATTCACTAGATTAATTTCAGAGTACAAATCTCCAAAATTTGCGAGGGTTGTTTATTAACATATTAGGTAGAGTTTGCAGAAAGAATGTCTGCTTAGAGTTATCAGAAAGAATGTGTGCTAACACCCCTTTAAAATAGTTTTTTATTCGGAAGAGCAAGTGGCAAGCTTAGGCCAAGTATTTCCTTTTTTAGCGCTCCTGAAACATCTTTTCTTTTTATGAGATAAACGATGAAGTGGATTATTGAACCACGGTTTAGACGTAGTAGTTCGGATTGTCGAGCACAGTATGGTAATTTTCAATAAGTTGAAAAAATTTTGTCTCAAGGCTTGCCAATTTTCATTAGCATTATGGCACTGGAAGGTTTCATTGAAATAAACAAAATAAAGCCTTCGCTGTTGGACACTTCAAATACACATACAAATCATATCTGGTTTCAGTCTGAGTCTAAGAACACTGCCTTCTAACTTAACTGGCTAAAGTAGGGTTGACCAAAATCAGCCTAACAACAATAATTGGGAGTGCACTACACTACAGTTCTCTTAACACCTACGCTTGCAAGTCGACGGAGTGCATCGACTGCCTCTCTCTGCACGAGCAGCATTTCCTGCTGAACTGCCAGCTGCTGCTGCTGGGTGGCCAGCAGACCCTGCTGTGTGGCCAGCAGTTCTCGCTGGACAGCCAGCTGGTCCTGCTGAATGGACAGCAGATCCCGTGCCGTATCAACTCCAGACTTGGCCCTAGTTCTCCGGACTGGCATGGCACCTGGTGGATGCTGCACTGCTAATGACACGAAACACATTTGTAATAGCGTGCACACTGCAATAAACAATCGCAGCTTTCCCATCTTTTTCGTTCGTACCATTCGGTGGTAGGGGGCATGCCACTTGCGCAGGACGTTCCTCCTCTCCTCCCTTTGCCATGTCGCCTTCAGCCACAGACCCCTGCATAATATAATTCAACTATGTAACACACCACAACGCTATACAGCCCTTCTAGTTATACCTGTGTCTAATAGTGTGCACCCTAAACTCAATATTATTTTTTTTTTCGAATGTCACGGATTTATTGTCTCCGAGTGGGTCTAGAAATGTGCTGCAGCCCCGATATCCAAGCTTTCGTGGAAAACACCACGAGGCAATACATTCGCACCACATTGTTTTGTACATTAGTGTTCTATAAGGTAAAAAGCAACATGGTGTCTGCTCATGATCCAAGAGATTCACGGTACTTATCGAAGCTGCTGCTGCAGCCGTGAAGTCCCACAGCGGCGCGTCCACTGTCGGGGGCGCACGCCCGCCCCCTCGAGAGAAATCCGTCCCCACAAAAAATAATAATTTTTCTTGCTCCGCGTTTAGGGACGGCCCATCACTCGCGCCCCCACCGGCATACCTGCCAACCTGTGGACATTACAATTCGTAAAACTCACGCAATTGCGGGGGGGGGGGGGGCTGTTTCGCAAGGTGGCAAGGCTTAATGTCAGCCTTGTCACCGTGCAAAACGCTTACATTACACGTGCACGTGCTACAGAATCCAAACTTCTCTCCTTTTTGGACGGCACAAAGCACTGGAATTCCGACGTGTAGGACTTCAAGAACACCTGAAAGTACCTCTTTTTAGGTTTGGAATTTGCCATTGCACCGCGAAGCCACCGCAACCAGGGGAATGCTATGATTACACGTGTAACAAACACAGACGCTGCACTTCTCGCCTCGAAACTGGCCGAAACAGAGGCCCAACCACGTCTGAACACGCCAAACCAACATGCGCCGCCAAACACACAAACAAAGGCTTTGGGCTTTGGATTGATTTTGGATATGTGGTCACCGGATAGACGGATAGTAAAAACCACAACGCTGCCGTGGACGGCACCTATCGCCCTCTTGTGGCAGTGTGAGGTACCGCCAGCAACGGTTTTACGAAAAAAATGTTTAAAAAAATAGAAATGAAAAAAGTATCTTTTTTTCGTAAACTTTGAAGCAAGATTCGTAAAATCGTAGAATTAGTCCCAATTCATACATTTTACAAAAAATTCGGAAGAGTTGGCAGGTTTGCACCGGTCTTCTGTTAGGGACACGAGACTCTCAGGTCGCAAGCCCACGTCTGGCATGCACGTGAGTTCCAGAAAGTTATTCTTTATGGCCGAAGGGCATTTAACTCTCAAACTATTACGCCCCATAGTGTATCTCGCTCCTCCTTGGTAACAAAGCTCTCTGTAGCAGTCCCCGAGAAAACTCGACTTTCACCGAGAAAGTCCAGGAGAAGCGCAAACTGTCGTGCCGAGACGTAGCGACCTAGCTTGCGCTTCTTAGCGTTGTCGGCCACAACTGTCTTCGCAACGTAAAGGGTTGTAGTTAACGTTGATTGTATTCATTATTTCAGTACATTAGGTACTAATTCATGCAACCAGATTTCAGGAATATATTTTTTAATTTTGTCTCATGCTATTCATTTTGCCAACTTAAAAATAATATTTTTACTGTTATACTCACCGCGGTGTTTTGAGATTCTCAGTGGGGACACTTTAAGGGAAAAATCCCGATAGAGTTTCAACTCAGTCGTGCGTGTTGACAGACGTCACAATGGAGTTGGTTCGCCGGTGGAGTTTGCCAAAGATGGAGATGAAGCTGCTCCCATTGGCAATCCCACGAAGGAGATTTACCACTGCTTCTTTCAGCATAGACAGACGGGCGATGAGGTCAGAGGGGATGCACCTACCGAAGAAGCTGCATCACAGAGGCTAGCCTCACCACGTCATGTCATGGCCCTGCTCTTTTCAGCATGTTATTTATTATATTGCGCCAGAAAGCCAGCGACATCAGTACCTGGGCTAGTTGGTGCCACTGATCTCTGTTGTAGTAAGCTGGATCACGGATCGAGGCTCGTCTTAATAGGGAGGAGTGGTGCCACCAGCGCCCATCACTTGACATTGGCTAATGCATAAAACTCTATGGGAAAGACAAAGAAAAGTGACGTTCCCCCTCTCGTAAACTGTTGTCGTCACTGAATCTTTTGGCTGCTGTCGGGAAGCCTGTCAAATAGCTAGTGCACAAACATTAAAACTGACAACCCTCGCGGTTGTTATATAGAAATGTTTTGTTGTCGAGAGTGACTCTACTGGGCAAAAAATGTACAGCAGCTCACTGAGAAGAGAGTTACCTAGAGGTACCTCGGAGTCGGTGGCGATTTCAATGAGTCGGGTTTAGCAGGTGACAAGCTTGAAGGCTCTGCTATGATTTCGCTCACTCCAAGAAAGACGCTGCCAATATGGAACTTTGTTGATGTTCAGCAACTTCTGGGCTCCCCCACGACGGCATTATTGACAGCAAGTTTATTTGTTCACTCCACCACGAGAGCAAGCTTGCCAGATCAGCCATGGGTGCTATAGCACAATATTTTAATGGGCATTCGAATGCTTGAGAAATCGCAATTCAACCTCCAAACACACAATAAAATTATTGCAGCACATCGTAAAATACATGCCTTCGAACACTGTGTAGAAGCTTTAATTTCCTTCTTTTGTGTGTTTCTCCCATAGACTTGCGTGTATACACGACTTGCATTGACGTCACATCAGCCACCATTGCTGCGGACCATTCTCCAGTGCCCGTACCTTCCGGAGCACACATTTAGGACCAATGAATTTCTTCCTCTCGGAGAACTTTGCGGAGAAGAACAGATTCGATGCTGCCAAAATGTATGTTCCAGAGGGTACGGGCACAGGAATGGTATGGAGCCATATGACGTCCCGTGCAAGGCACGTATTGCTTGGTGCCAAGCAATGGCTGCCGGTGGCGCCACCGACAGACTTCCGATTTGAATCCAGCCTACTACAATAGAGACCAGTGGTTGGTCCACGCTTCAAGAAAATTGGTCTATGCGTAGGTTTACTCAGCTGCACAAATTTCCGTAGAACTATGGCAGCAGTTGAAGAAACGTTTAGGGTTCCTGCCACATGACAATGTTGGATGCGCAAGAAGCAAATGCCCGTGGCTCAGAGTCCGGTAGAGGCAAATGTGCAGCCCTCCCCGTCGCAACCTCCGAGGCGGAGTTGCGGAATTGCACACAACTGTTTTTAACACTTCGACAAGTCGCGCGAGCGAGTTGCGTGAACTGCTCGTGCCGCAGAGCACGTGAGCTCAGCAGCTGTCCAGAGTGATGAGCGAAGATTGTGGAATCAGGGCTGCCGAAGCGGCATGTACAGCCGTTACGATGAGACAGGAGCACGTCGCTTTGAAGAAAGCAGGCCAGCAGATAAGAAAGGACGTGGTTGCACACTGCACAGTTCTGACGTCACCCGTGATAGAGTTTTCGTGTCATCGACCTCCAGACCAAGCGGGCAGAGCTATACGTAGAAACCATGGTGTAATACGCCACGTCCTGTCCAGTTCTCCCTTCTTTTTCGTCTCTGTTGTTTTGGTGTTTTACATCATGATGCAAAACCAACTAGCCCAACCAGCCATCCTTATACACCTTTCCAAAAAACACCCAACCCCAGGGGCAACAAACTGTTTTCGAGCCCAGTCACTGAGTTTGAGGCTAGACTCTCACCAGCGTCCCTCCTAACCCTAACCGAGTGGACTGTGATGTCAATAGGCGCAGCCTGTGTAGGCGCAGTTTCAAACACTGCTGGCGGATAAATTATCGTCGTTTCCCGCTATATTTTGTGTTTCATGCTACATGTATTTTCCCGAGGACATTGAGAAAGCATTGTCCCACATTTAAAAAAAAAAAAAAAAAAACTAAACTATTTTTGTTGGGTACGCGCGCGACAGAACGAGTTCGATTGGAATGTATAGTTCTAGTTGTTTGTGTTTATTTCTTACGATAAGCTTTGACGGCGCCGCAGGATTCACCGCATGTGAAACGACAAAGCGCTTTGCTGTTAAAAATAAATTGCAACAGAAGAGGGCCGAAAGGCATGCATTTTTCATGCTCACAAATAACGTGTTTACCGATGGACAGGACACGGACATACAATTGAGGAAGTGGTAACATTCAAACAATATATCGTACGTACCACACGATGCAGCGTTATCCGAAAAGAATTTATTTGAGAAAGATCTCAAATAACACAGTCACAGTCGACGACAGTCACATCTTGATGATCGGACGGAATCAGAGATGACTTCGTCTTGGGGCCCGTTTTGGGAAGAGCTACCTTTTCTCATAACCGCACCAAAGCAAAGAAACAAACGCGACTGACCCGTTTCTCACCCCAACCCGGACAGCTATATTTGGAGACGACTGAGGATTCTACGCGGATTATCTCTGGGAGGGGGAAGAACAATGTTTGCAAAATCGCGTCGAGGGTCGTTCGACGTCCTTCACCTCCTTCCTTTCCCGTGAATGTCGAGCAGAAAAGCTTGAATGGCAGGTACTTACCAGCCTTATTTATCACAGTGGAAGATAACACAAAAAGGGTACGCAGCACGCATAAAAAAAATTAAGTGGAAACTTTCAAGAGGGGCGAGAAAACATTGAATGCAAAACCGCAAAAACGTAGGTAGAGAACCACGCCGAGCGGGTCTTCACAGTCCCAGAGGGTGGCAGAAAATTTCTAGCTGATAGAGGGCGCGAGAGTCGCACCAGCCGCATCAGCATCAGCAACATGGCAGTGGCCTAGGAGCGTTTTTTGGAAAGGTGTATACATAGAAAGAGTTTGGCCATTCATTGGAAAGTATAGGAAGCAAATGAAGAGGCGCCATTGGCCGAAAGCGGGCTGGGCGTGTCCCAGGGCGTCTTCACAGATTTGAATGTGGCCAGCCAGAAGCCGCAAATAATACCCTGGCAGTGGTCGCGAGAAACAAAATTAATAAGTGCGTCGGACTAACCCTTGGCGAATGAAAACATGATGCATGTGATTGTACTATCACGGTCATACAAAATCAATATCTAGGAGAACGGTCGACATGATCTGTATGCCAGGCGTCTGAGCCACGTC